CGCCCAATAAGCGGCGATAATCAAACGACACGAATATTCATATAAATAACTGAGTAATTGGCTTCCAATAATCGTGATGTAAACAATCTTACTTCAATTTTACTGAACCAATATATGCCGTGTAAAACAAAACTGAGTCAACTTAATGTGATTAATGTTCATAGCGTGATCGTTGCCGGTAGTTGCGAACACGTGTAAATGCATGCTAACGTACTGCGATTCGGTATTTCACATATCGACCCCCCACGAATCCGAGTACAAATCGGAAATTAGATCCCAGACTGGGTCGCGAAAGCTTCCCGAGAGAAAAAAGAAAGGGAGAGATGAGAGAGAGAGAGGGTGCTTGGTTATTCGCAGAGTTCGTAATTGGAGTCTGGAATCCTGAAATACGAGGCGGACTCTGGGCCACCTGTCGAAATGGATCGCAGAATGATCTCGATGGAACGAGACGGTTGCGAAGCCAGTAAAAAGAGAATTCGCGCGATATATATATATATATATATATATATACAGACACACACATATATAAAACATGAACACTAGAATCAATAAAAAATGTAGGCGTATGACTATCAATGAAATCTAAGAAATATTAAGTGTACCACGAGGAGGTGGTTATCGATGAAATCTCGATGAGAAACTTTAACGGTATGCGAAGACCGGTTGAGAGACTCATAATGGCAGAACAGCGTTGAATTTACCGATCAACGAAGTTTGTCGATTCCATGCATAAACCGTTGGCGTGTATATTGTTATCCAAAAAGTATTGTGACACGAATCCATTTCACCGTTTTTATTATTAACTCATTTGAATAAATATACGTATTTCCACAGCAGCGAAACACGGCCTCATGTGAAAAGACGTTTGCATTGTTACATTATTTTTATGCAAAGCTAGCTGAACTATATATATAGTAACTTTATTAAAAATACAGTTTGCTACGAAGCGTTGGCGTAAAATTACAAATCTCTCTATTTACGTCACTAGTAATAACATAAATTTACTAACATTTAAGTTTTTTTTTTTTAGGCCCAGTTGCACCAATGTCACTTTGACTTTAAGCGAGACTTAAAACTCTATCTGTCTCGCTTTAAAGAGACAGAGATAGAAAGGGATTATTTAAGTCACACTTAAAATAATGTTACAATCGAGCCTTAATAATATACTTTCTTATCCGAAAATATAATGCTCTAAATAATTATTTGTCAATGAAACGACAAAAAAAAATAAGATCAATGTATTCATTTCCGCTTTGATTTCACCATCCATTACTCAATACAAAATTCTTAAAATTAGCCAACAATGTTCTTGGGAAAATTTACTTTAGAAAACTTAAAAAAATACATAAAATTTATTGTAGAGAAAATCTAAGAAATAAAAATTAATTTGAACACTTTAAACTTTTTTTTAAAATAACTTTAAAACTTACTTAAGAACAACAGAAAGAAACTAACGCGATGAAACTAACCGATTATATTAAATTCTTTATTAAAAACTTTAAAAATTTTAGATTATTCTGGCTTAACCTTTTACACATTTTTTAAAATTATCTCAAAATTTTTTAAGTAAACTCTTAATTACTTTTAAAAATTTTAACTTCGTTAAAAGTAAATTTTGTCAAGGGTGTGAAATATAAGTTTCAATTATCACTTAATAAAATTGAAATATTTAAAGAAAAAAGGAAAAATATCTACAGTAAAGATTAAACATCGATTTCTCATTTAATATGATCAAATGATATTCGGATATTGTAAATTGGCAAAAATTTCTCCAGATTAATACAATTATAACTATGTATTTAATAATCTTAATCTTATTACTAATATCTGTTACATATATTATACTGCTTTTTAAATCTCACGTATGTGATTAAAATTGCTCAAAGAATATGACTATCCTTTAACCGCGCATTGCCAACGGATCACAATAGAATCTAATGAGATTAAATGATCATATAGTATCATCTATGAGAGAAGTTATGACTCCAAGCGAAAAACTTATCGCTTCGTTCTTATTTTCATTTATGTCTAACAGTCGATCGCTTTTGAAACGGTAAAGCGATGAAGCGAGCGTACACTAAGCTCCCGTCGTATATTAAACCGCGATCGTGGATAATATGTGAGAGGTGAAGCAGATGTTGCGGTCGGCCTGATCGCGAAAACAGTGGCGGATGATCGCGATTTCTTACAAGGGAGAAGAGATAAATTGCGTTTTATATGATCATGATACTGAAAAAAGTGTACGTTACATCAATACAGTCATTCGAGCAACCGAAATCACTGACAGATCTTATAATAAATATAACTGTTTATATATAAGTAAGTATAATAAAAAAATGGAATAATTCCTACCGGAATCCATTTCGAATAATTTTATAATATATGCACAGAATACAATGAAACAAACAAAAAATTAACTATGCCTTTAAAATTCAACATTGCCGGCAGAGAGTTAAGATAAGATCTAATACATTACGGAAGATATCTTGCTAAACGTTTGCACTTGATCAATCAAAATAAAAAAGAAAAAATGCGATATACAGTTAAACGTAATTTCTACATCATTAAAATTTCAGTTGCTAATGAGAGAAAAGATTCACAAAAGATATTAACTCTGACATACAGGTTGAAGAGACTACCTAACTAGCTCGATCTGTTCATAGATCAAAACAATTTACTGAGATAACTGTAACAGGGAACTCGCGCATGCTGGCCGACATTAACACGCATTGGTCTAGGTGGTCAATCTTGGCGTGGGATGATTGATAACTCTCTTGTAAGCATTATCAACCGCAGCGTGCATGCTGTTATGTTCACGTTAGGAACGTGACGCTGATAGACGGGCTTTACCATTTCTCCTCTCTTTCGCTCCTTCCTTTTAACTTTCTAGTCTCAATGTAACATGTTGCCTTTAATTCGAAGATACATGTCGACGTGTTAAATGCACCCCACTCTAAGCCCAATCAATTTTCGATTCGTCTGTTACAAGAACAAATTAATTTTATTCAGAAATATCTTTTAGTTTTATGAATTTTAAATGAAAGAACCTTAGATATTAACAAAATTAAAATAATTTAACTAAGAATATTAATATGATAATTTAAAAATAAGACAATTTAATCGAGAATATTTATTTATATTTCAAAATTGGATGTAGAAAGACAGCCTAAAATGTTTTAAATCATTTATAAATTGATAAAATAACTATTCAGAAATGTTTAACTCTTTTTCTGAATTATAAATTCCTCGCAAAAAAATCTCTTCCCTAAAAATACTTTCTTGTTTAATCATGCTTAATTACGGACGTTATCCAAAAATTATTAGCTTCCAAAAGTTTGCCGGCCTGTCCAACATCCCCCTATCGCTACCTGAGCTACCTTACAATCGTGAAGAAGCAGCATTAACGGCGCATTCGTATGCAGAGTCGAGTACCAGCTCTCGATCACGGACAGCTCCTTCTCACTTGAACGACTTCCTCTCCTTTGGAAGCCTCTTTTCCAAGCTCGCCGGGCCCTGAGCGATTACAGTGTCGACAACTTGAAGTACATATAAACTCACGTATGCGTAGGTAGACCGACGGCATGGGAAGCCGTGTGACAAGAGCGTAATGAATCTACCTCTTCGAACGAGCATACTTAGGATGGTCTTAAGATAGAAGCACTGCTCGGCGGAATTCGAAAACTGCGATTAATGTCGCTGCAACGAGCGAAGATGCGAACGAAGTCGTCGCGTCGGTTAGAGCGATGCGAAGCGCGCATTACGATGTCCTTTTCGCGGATAATTCTGCGATCAGTGGGACTTAATTATCCCGTTCTCTCATTTGTAATTCCGCGGGCGTTCGTCGCTAATCTCCATTTCAATGTTTAAAGTCGCGTTGGCTGGAGGGAATCGTCGTGATTAAGACCTTGAGTAAAGACCGATCAGAAACATTCTGTACAGGTTTAAGATATTTCACGATAACACGAACCATAAGACCCGACTAATGAGCGTGGAGTGAGGGAAAGAAACCGCTCGGTGGCGCGCAGTTATCTCATTCGAAGCTCGCGTTTCAGCGAAGGATGGCTATGCAAACAACTGAGAACTGGTCGGGAATCGTTCGGCAAATGTGTAAGTACTCTTCAGACGTAGAGGTTGCGAGAAATCATCGGCGGCCGACCGCGAATTGTTCAATCGCCGCCGGTCGCGCCCGAAGTACAATTCTCCGACTAATCGGCTGATCCGTACCGAGAAGAACCTACCTCCATCGTCTCTTCATCATATGCTCGCTCGCGGCCGCCGTTTCTTCGTAATAAACTTGCGGTGCGATTCTCTTAATTACGTTCGCACGGACGATAATCTCAGGCCTCGTTAAGTGCGCGAGATCGCTGCTGGTGCACATCCGAGATGAAACGATTTCAACGGGGATAAGTGGGATAGGTAAGGGACGCAGAATGCTTTCGGTAGGTGTGTGGCAGGAATAATAGCGAAGGACGCCTAATAAACCTGCGGGTATCCCGCTGCGCGGAAACGGGACGCGCCGGATGAGACTGTAAGCCAATTATGGGGCGCCCGCGCGTACTGTGCGAAGATCTCGAGAGCCGATTTATATGATGCTCGTGTTGCCCATATATATATGACTTGGCAAAGGTCCAGAACTTACCTGAAGAAATTACGACAATGCGGTGAGACTAAAACCGAAAACGGTGACAAGTCGACGCATTCTTTAGATGTCAGATTTTTTAGCGACAACAGATTTATATACTTATACTTCACATCTATTATCGTTGAAATACAGAAATCTACAAATTCTGATTAGCCTTCGCTCTTAATATTTTCTGATATTTCTTGTTGTAAGAAATCTTACTACTAAATTTTAAAGAAACATTATACACACAAAGTGTTCTTTTATAATAAATGTGAATTTGTAAGATAAAAATCAATAATTTATTATACCGTTTCAATATAGTTGTAACAAAAATTTTGCCTATATTAAACCTATAACTTCTGAATTTTCTTTACAGAAGCTCCTGGAGAACTTGGATGGGTGCTGACTCTTGTGATAGTGTCTTTAGTATCAGCTGGTATCGGTGCAGTAGTGATGATGACTCTTCTCCATTGTCGAAGGTTAGTATTTTTCTTTTCAAAAAGCATATTTTTCATTAATATATAATAAATGAGAAAAGAGAAACGATCGAAGATTACCTTGATACGGAATTAACTAACTCTTTCTCGTTAAATTTACTTATTGCTGAATAAAATCAATCAGAGTTAATGACCGTTTAAATTGAAATTCTATTGCATACTATCCAGTGCAATTTTTATGATACTTCTCTCGAAGGCTTCTCGCGAAGAACGGTCAAGCATTACGATACGGATCATCGCGCCGACAGATTCGCGAAACGATCGCGGTTTCATCTTACAGCTGCACGCGGTTGATTCTCTTAAATTACCACCTACCGGCGATACGTAATCGAAAGAGTCGATCGACACTAAGAACGAGGATGAAGCGATCGCTAACTAGATTGATTCGGTGCGAATCCGGCAAGTGACAGACTAACGGGACGTCAAAAGAGCGAGAAGAGAGGAAATGGTACATGAGCACCATTATGAAAGAATCATGACTGTGGTCAGATCTCGATTAGAATTCTTGGGTAGCCAGGAAACGAGAGTTTTCGTGATCGCAATCTCATCCTTCTTTACGGCCTTCTCATACTAGATGATTTATTAAACTTGATTGCTAACTTGCATGTTTCTTCACTTATTTTAATTTTTATTTAAAAAATGATCATATGGAATAATTTAGAGCATTTATTTTTAATATATTGATTATTCATAATATGTATAAATAATCATTGCTGACTTATGTTCAGTAAAATACTCTCACTTGCTTTTTCGTTATTTTGAAGTAATTAATTTCTCAAAAAAATCAAGTGTATTATTATCATAATTATCTTTATAAAATAATTAATAACAAATATTTCTCATGATTCATCGAAATTTCTATTTAATCTGTTACAGGATAAAAAGTGCTGGTGGCAGAGGTAAGCAAAGTTTCATCAAGATATACATGTTCTTCATAAAACTTCACGAAATGTTATATATTCGATCGGTTATTCATAAATTGATATTCATAGTCATTCTTATTTCAAGATTGCAATTGACGTAATCTCTTAAAAGATTAATATGATTCTGTGACTGGTTTATGACATCTTAAAATTATACTCAAAAATAAGAAAAATACAATGTCTCAAAGATAAGACTGAACCATGAATACCTAAGCTAAATTTTTAACGTACATAATAGATTTGTACGAAATAAATCTTGTCATACAAACGTACGTGAATCAGTTTATAAAAATAATTCATAAAGAAACTTGACACATGGGGTTAGGGAATAAAGGGAGATCTGAGTTTATTGTCGAGAGACAGGCTAGCTTCCCAATTATGTCGAATTAACATACCACGTTCGGCGCGGTGAATTCACGCTGACAGGGTCAAGTTCGAAATGATTCCCAATTATCCGAGTTCCCCTACTGAGTTACCTGCTCGCGAATCTCTTTTATTCGTTAGTTTCTTCATCATGCGTTAATATACGACATATACATTCACAATAATACCATCCTGAATATGCTTTATAAGAGACCTCACAAAAGGTATCTTCAAGAATGCTTTGTCATGTCATAAACTTCAAAGAAAAAACTGCAAGGTAGAAAACATTCCTAAGAAAATGATCAAAATGATACGAATCGAAAAGATATGTAATATGAAAAGTTATATCAGCGTTGCGATATGACGTATTATTTATAATATTAATTAATTTTATTAACTTGACATTTTCATTAAATTGGTATTAAATATACAGAAGTGTCCTTAATAGTATAATAGACTGCAATTCAATAATGCTATTTTCTTTAAAGTTAGCATTTCAGGCAGACGCATTGTATCTAGAAGTTTGTGTACTTGTGACTGTTAAATTCAATTACATTACTCGAAGCAATCGAAACTTAGCAATCATAATATTGTAATTATATACATTATATACAAACACTTGTGTCTGAAACAACTAACTTCAAGCGAAAAGATATTATTGAATCCTAGTAACGTAAAATATTGAATAAACTATCTCATATTGATCTTTTGATTGCGTGAGCTATAAAATAGAGTCTATAGTACGTTTATAATATTTTGTACGATCCCGAAAAAATAGGGCAATCAATTGAATCGATAAACGTGACACTTCGAAAACGTGAGACACGCTCTTAACATACCGTATATCTTATCAAGAAATAAACTTCTCTAGTTCGTGTTCACGGAGATAAACTCACGATGTCGTCTCACGACAAAGTCATTGTTCCAGACGGTGAAAGAATTAGAACGAAAAGAGTAAACCTCGCATTGCGCGGAGATCTCTCATACAAACAGAGTACAAGAACATGTACATTGACGACGTGTGACGATGGACATGTTGGCGTGAAAAAGAAAGAGAGCAACACCGTCATGGCATCGAGTGCCGGCATCGATTGGAGTTTAATTAGTTCGCATAATGCAAACCGCTCACAGCGGTATAAACCGTGCATCCGTGTGCTGCATGTTCTCTGTCGTACTTAAAGGGTATAACCGAGCGATACGATGCGACGTGATGCGATGTGACACGACGGATGGATGACTGCGGCTGGGCGACATTAAACACGACGAAACGCGTCTAATTAACTTTCTGATTTAAAATCAACCGCAGCACGATACGATCGACGAGCAAACGGCGGCAAATGTAAAAAGACGATGAGCGAGCGGAAAGACAGAAGAGGGTACTGCCTGGGATGTAGGGATCACTCGAATTAATTATCCGACACTCGTTTCATTGAACCTCTTGAATTACTATTGGATTTTCGTGACGTGATTTGTATTAACCTTAGACTAAAATCTAACAATAGCATCTAAAACTATCTCGATTACAAACCATCACTTAAAAGTTTATTTTGATACGATTTAAAATATAATATATGAAACATATTAAAAAGATATTCTTATCAAACTTTAAAATATTTAAAAATAGAGATATTTCAATATTCATCAATATTTTTTTTAAATTATCAATATTTTTTATTATCAATATTTATTATTTTTTCGTATTATAAGCATTTAAAAAAATACGTAAGCAAAAAGAATATATTCTGAAAATTTTATTTTATAATTGATCACAATTAAACCGAAAATTTTTGTTAATGACAACATTATTAATTTTTATTCCTTTATTCCCATAAAAATAATCTTTCAAGGTGGTCCGCACGGAGCAATTTGAATTTGCAACCCGCATGAACGCGTAATTTCGTCGTTCTCGCCCCAGGAACAAATTCTCTAGTCCGGTTTTAGAACGGATAACTGCTAAGAGAGGCACAAATAACCAAGATACAATTACACGTTAAGACGGGGTGATTTATTGCTGTCTCTTAAAACAATAGGGTCTGTTAATCGCGTAATAATATGTAGAAGAGAAAATTTCTCAATAACAAAATAAAATTCTAGTATTGTAAAGAATAAAGAGATCTTATAGTGATTTTAATGTCCATAAACGACTTACTTTCCTATAACAAGAATAAAACCTTGCAAAAATATTGAATAAAATGTATGTGTAGATATATGATACGCACAAAATATATGTACCTTATTCAAAAAATTTTTTCAAAAATCCACCATCAAAGATCTAACGTCATCAAAATAATCAATTTATGTGCAGAATATCACATGACTGACTTATATATTTTAATTGCGTATTCTTATAAAGATTAAATGTAATTAAAAATTATAATTATATACGAAAATATCAATTAACTTCTGAGTGAAAATTACTGAATAAAACTTCTGAATAAAAATTAATATATTAAAATACAGTATTCGCGCAGTATTTATTTCTGGGTAAGAGTAACAAATAAAATAATAAATAATGAATCATTTACCTCATAATTGCTCCGTTGACATCCGATGTCTCCTAGGTCTGCTCTTCTTCTCAAATTCTTTCGTTGCACAACACTTGCGGGAACATAATTATGATTATTATAATTATGATTATCGCGACATTCTCGAATTTAATTATACGCGACGCGTAATTCGTGAAATGTGCGAAAAATTATTATTAAACGATCGGTATGATTATTTTAATCACTCGTTGACACTATTGACATTGTTGGCAGATCATTGCTCCATTTTTTCAACCTGAAAATAATTAATAAATCACGTGTAAGTTAACAGATAATTTTACGTGTCTTTATAAAAGTAATATTATCACAATAAAGAAAGTTTACACGAATTTATAACTCCTATTTGTTTTTGCTTTTATTTCAATACAAATGAATAAATCGTGTAAATGATCTGTATAGCTAATTAATCTAATATTGATATATCGCGTAATATTATGTATTTTCAATTTGAAACGGATAAATTACACTTGTAGATAAATTACACTTGTATCGCATTTTAGATATTTCATGTAAGATACATCCATGATTCTAACTTTGATAGAAATTTCATGCATTTTTTTTAGTATAATAGTTATTGGACAGTTATTTTGTATTAATTCTGTCTAGTAACTGAAAAGTAAAACTAGAATCCCAATCAAGATAAAATACTTCATATTGAACAAAAACAGACAATAAACCGATTATACAGTATTTTAATTATAATCTATATTAATACTAAATAATAATTGAGCAGATCTTTACGCAAATTGCACATATTTGTACCAAGAAAACTGTTTCAGCCATTGAATAAAACTCTATCAAATTCTTATCCATTTCTTACACAATATTGTTACTAATGAGAATACAGTAACTGAATGGAGGTTTAAGAAAATTGCATACATTTCTACCAGGATTATTCAAGAAATTATTAATTATATAAACCGATAATTTAACATTTCTCTCTATTACCCCTATCGCTAAGATCCTTATTTAAAGTGAATGAATACGCGTGAGCACACGCACGCACGCACGCACGCACGCACGCACGCACGCACGCACGCACGCACGCACGCACGCACACACACACACACACAAAATTTTTGGTTGGCGCGTGTCCCGCTGGTGTTTGTGTATCACTGCGTAGCGCGCCGACCGAATCGATCGTTATCATTCGTACGATAACACTTGAGCCAGCAGGTAGCAGTGCGAGTCGCTCGATATATTTTCTCGAAACGCTATTTTCTTTGAATCATTATTATTCACTACGCGAATAATTAATTTTCGCGAATAATTATTCATAAGTATATTGAGACATTAAAGCAGTTCTCACGCGTATTCATTCACTTTAAATACACATAATTTTATATCTCTTCAAGATTTAAAACTTTCAAAACTTCATTGCGTGAATATAAGCGTTTTCGATAATTAATCTTCATAATAAGCCCTCAGGGGCCCCTATAAATATTATATAATTATAGAACACTTCGTATGTGTGTTTTATAATGAAAGTCAATTAATATTTAATTTATAATATTTTGTATCTATTCTTTAGGTTCGTATTTATATTATGTTTTCTTTATAAAGCTATCTATTCATTAGAAATGTTTTAATGTTGCCAGTATTTCTTTCGGATATACATATGTATAATTTTAGAATTATAAAACTAACAAATTCGTAATTTAAATCAATAGGCTTAATTAAATGTTCAACCGGAGCTTAAGAAACATAGCTTTATCATGCTGACAATTTATAAGATTACAGATAATTGAATATCCTGTGGGCAAAAAATAAATTAGTGAAAGTTCGTTAATAGTACATTCTTCCATGCATAAGAATTGCTTTAAATGCCACCGGATGAGCAGTGCGTTAATGGACGGCTGAAAGAGGTTGCTTTCGCGCAAAAAAGAACGAAGGGCCCATTCCATACACGTTAAATTGCTGTGCGATCCTCCGGATACAATGACGATCGAAGAGTCGAGTAGAAAAGGTGAATCGAATCCATTAATCGGCTTATCGCACGATGATTGGAACGATATTTTGGATCAGTCGATGTATAATACGTCAAAGAACCAAGATGCTAGATGCTCAACATGTACAATTTTGACGCGCGATTATATTTAGAATCTTTTGTCATATATATCGAAATTTTATATCAAGTTCATTATAACAGTTTCATTAAATTACATGACTAAATTAATAATATGCGAATCACGTATGTAATTAATTAAATGCACGTATAATTAATTAAATGAAGAGAATAACTTGGCTATAAATATTTATATTGTGTAAAACAATATTTTTATAATCTTTTACTCCTTTTACTGTAATTTCAAGTAGACTTATAATTAGTTTTATTAAAATTTTAATTAATTTTAGTATTTTAAATGATTTTATTTTAGATTTTTAACAATTCTTAATATTAAATAATCAAAATATATAACAGAAAAACTTATTAAAACTTATTCTAAGCGAAGATTCATTCCAAAACCTTTTTAAAAAATCTTAAATATTCTGAAGAATAGTAGGTATTATACATATCATATGTTTATCAAGAGAAGTAATAAAAATCTTTTTTTCTAATATATTTCTAAAATATACATATTTATCTAAAATGTTCACTGTATTTAAACAATGAGGAAAGTATTTAAAATGATTTATATGAATATAAATTTCGAACAAAAATCGTAATAAATTATATTAAATTCTTGTCGCACGATATCTTACACGTAACACAACAGCAATGGGAGCCAAGAAATGAGTTCTACGCAAGCCTTTAGCTATCTGATCGTGACGAAAGAGCGTAACATTTGCCCCCCGTCGTCACGACATGTTTTCCAACGCCACACTTTTCATGTATCGCCCAATTAATATTCTATCTATTCTGATAATAGATATGCTGCAGGTGACGGTATGAAAGTCTTGAAGAACGAATGGATTCGATTATTTAAATTCATTCAGAAGATAAAAATTATGTTGTAATCGCGCAAGTGAGATGAACATCCAAAGCTGCCTACATATGCGAATACATTTTCGAATACTGCTCGACTGTAATCTGCTTATTGCAGATTATAATTGAACAAGATTGTCTTATATTTTTTATGTTATATTATTATACTAATAAAGTAATAAAAAATTTATAAGATGGTATAATTTTGAACATAGTTTGAACAATTCTGAATGAAATAAGATTAAATCTAATTTTTGAAGTTCACATTTAATTTTTTTCCCCTTTTGATATCCTTCAATATCTTCCATATAACGAGAGAGTTGAACTTCAAAAATTGAATTTAAATTTAATTTCGTTCAAAATTACCAATTGTTAAAAAAAAAAAACGAGAAATCTAATAAGAAAAAATAAAAAATCTATTGAGATATTGAACATTTAGAAAAATAGAATGTTGTATGTAAGAAGTGAGTAAAATTAATGGAGAAGGAAAGATCAGAAACTTGCTTTGAATGATAAGAAAGACGTATCATACTACATACAATCGAATCGGAATTTTGTTACACTGGTTAAATCGCAACGAGAACTGGTTCAATATCGTTGCGAAGTGACAGGAGGATAAATTGTCATGTGCCTGATCCATTTCCGCAATAAGCAGATTAGTAGCGGAATGTTAAGTCGCAAATTGTAATCATGCTCGAGATCAATGTACTGTTATTAAATAAATACGCTTATGCATTTTCATTTGGACATTAATCGATGACATCGAGCAAACTGGCAACATTGAACGGAATAGTTACGCGTAATTGTAGAGATATAACGGATTTCCCTCTTTATTATTACTATTCTAACCGCGTTAGATTGAGGCAGTAATAAAAGGGTACAAAATATGCTATACCGGTTCGAGCTAATGGCTTTTTAACGAAGCTAGGTGCTACGGAAATAGAATATCTAGGATCATAAATTTTACAACGAACTGAGTAATCTGTTAGTCAACTATTTGACAAGAAAATCATAAAATAATTATAAATAAAATAGTAAAATTAAAACCTTTCAATTTTATGCATATGAAAGAAAAAAACTAAATATCTTTATTATTAAAAAATCTTAGCTTTCAGAAACTAAATATTTTTATTTAGTTTTTCAAAGATCATTCAGTTAATAAATAAGTAAGAGAGAAATTTAAAGATTTGATTATATTCTTTCTTAAAAACGTTGAAAGCGAAAATAATCATTTATAGAAATAATATAGAACAAATAGAACGAAAAAATTACGAGCATCAAGATTAAAATTATCAATCAGAGTTGCATGAAAACGTAAGGCAGCGAAAGTGCGCTCGAATCGAGTAACCAATGATTTCTAACGCATCCATCAATCATTTCATTAAGAAGCTTGTTATTACGATCACTTTCGCGATCAGAGCAGCTTCTTCAGAGAAGAATAAATAAAATATCCTGCACACCTCATCAAGGATTATGAATCCGTTTAATATGTACGAGACTAACGTCTTACGAATCAGAAGTTCTTTATTTCTTGACGAGTGACATCGACGCGCTTTTCAGAATAGGCGAGATCTTCGAGGTATAATAGGAATTAGAAGAAATACGTAAGATCATTTTCACGGTGAAAGCAACAGAGAAAAAAAGTAGAATACGGAAAGAAAATGAGATTCTTATAATCTCATTTTTTTACCTCCGTAGCACTCTTATGAGCCCACTTATCGCTGAGGCGGCACTTCTGATCCACGAATTTCGAGATCCTTTCTTGCTTCTCTTCCATTCTCCGCCTCTCGCCCACTCTTCTTTTTTTCTCCCCTATCCCAGTTCAACCCCCCGCCCCACCCTCTGATATGCTACAACCCTCAGTGCGATTCTATGAAGGCCCGTGACGGCACTATGACAGGCTCACAATAAGGCCATACAGAAGACAGCCGGTTTTTTTTCTCTATACGCGAGCGCACGTCATAATGCGGTGATTCGGGTTTGGTCGCCGAATTCTATATATGGGGGCAGTTATTTATATTTGCGCATGGGGTGTATACGTGCACGTGGGGCCGTAAACGTATCGGAATTCAGGGCCAACCTCACCTGGCACTTCACATGCTTCGGCGCGAGAAACGCGTCCCATGGATTCAAGCGGATCAAGCGGATCTCTGTAACCGAAGGGCGATGATGCCCTGAGAAACGGGAACTAGGTGAAACCCGAGCTAAGCGACTTTCGTATTGACACGCCAACGAATTTTTCCGGAGCAATGAGTAACATGTGTGTGTGAGTCTTTCTTCCCTTTTCTGTTCCAGCGAGTTGTTGCGGTGTCGGCGTTGAAGATTCGAGTGTGCCCGATGCCGGTGGGCCTACGGGGGCGGGTGGTACCGGCGGCGGGGTGGCTGTCATACCCGATCGACCACCTCTCGAATTAGACAAATTACCGCCTTATCACGACGTAGCGCCTAGTCCCGGTGAGTGTTATTACGAGATGCCTGCTGTTTGACGCTTCTCATACATATGTGTACGGGCCGTCAAAAGAGATCATTGAGAAATGGCCGCTCGTTACTCGCATGTTCCCGTCACGTTACATGTATTGCGATCGCGAACGCAGTAGCATCGTCTCTCACTAACTGTATGTCTCATTTTGTTCGCGAAAGAAAGCTAAAGATCTGGATTAAAGAACCGGATCTCGTGACTTGTTCTCAATGTTTTCAACTAATTCTGCAAAATCTCTTATATTATGAAACAAACTCGTATCTTGTAATAAAGCATTGCTGAACAAAATATTGAATACATGAAAAAAAAGAATGAAAATGAGCCTGTAAATCAAGCATATCTGATAGTTGATAATTACACGGAAAGATTGATTTTACTGAAGTATTTAAAATTTTAGGTTTGAAAATTAGATATAGATTTTTGAAAATAATTTTGTTGGATCATCAAAATAATTATATAGGAAACTCAAGTATGATGCAATAGTACAAAAAGTTTTAACATTCTAGCAACCAATTTGAGTACCCTGTATAATTATTTTAAATTTTAATAGTCCAAATCATTTTCAGATCTGTATCTATAACTAAATTTTTAGATATACTTAAGCAAAAAAATCCTTCGCTCTTTCAGAAAGAAATTGAATTCGTATTTGGAAAATAAAACTTGACTAATTGATAAAACAAAACAATTTACAAAAAACATTATTCTTTTTTTTTTACCTCTTATTTGTTTAGATAAAATCACATTAGGCTCACTCATATTGTTTTTATTGTTAGCTAAACTTCTTGCATGATTCACAAAAAGAAACACAGAAACGATGAATTGTGCAGGAAATTCAATTGAACAGAACAGACTTATCTTTAAGACTGCATGTCGCAGTGATTATTCTTTTATCATTGATATGCTGCCAAGATATGTTAAGAAAATATACTAATCAGCATGGGTCTCAAGTTGTGGATGAAATCGAACTTTAGGACACAACGTGTGGTCGTGGCTGGGCTCTCGACGAGGCGGTGGCACCCCGGGAGTCGTCACGACGCCGCTCTCCCTTCCTCAGCACCGACGGGCGATGAATCTCCCAGTCGAGAATCACTACACCCACATGCAAACCGACGAGGCTCTATACGCGGAACTGGACTCGCAAGCCGCGAGCTACGCGAGCGATCTACAGTTACAAATGAGAGGAAGTTCGACGTACGGTACGACTTCCGGCGGTCAGGACGACGAATATCACGAACTGGACGCTGCCAGATTACATCGTCATTATGGAGGTAGCGACGGATCGCTACAGACAGATACACTTCGTACTCGACATAGTAAAAGGTGAATCAAATGCTTCCAGATCTATAGAAGTTATTAAATACACGGAAAGAACGACTTTATTGAAATATCTAAAAATTTAGCTACATACGGATCCAAAAATAATTTTATTGAACCATCAAAACGTAGGAAACTCAAGAATGATGAGCAATGCTGCAAAAAGTTTTGACATTTTAGCAATCAGCTTGAACGTCTTACATTATTTTAATGGTCCAATAAAATTAATTTCAGAGCTATATATATATCTAGTTAAATTTTTAGATATTTCAGCAAAAATTCCATACAAGAAGAACTATGTGTTGGTCATCTTAAATAAAAGCATAACATTAGAAACATTAAATTAATGAATTTAAATTTTAAAAAGATAAAGAAATTGATGATCGTTATATCCATAAAATTGTTATTAGAAAAAAATATTTGTTAATTGATTTTTTTAAATCGATTAATGAGGCACATGGCGATCTCGAAATCGGAAGTCAGTAATCATACGCAATGCTTTATCGTTTCTCGACTTCCTACATCGATAAGGAGTTCAATACTGACTTTGTTCTGGCAACGCCTTCTAAGAGAGTTTAATTGCCCGTTCTAACAACGCTCATCCGCGTCGCCATGTAATCGCCAGTTATTGATACGGTCGATACCCCCTTATGTATGTTAATGGCACATTCCAGTCGAATAATCATACAATGATTATCCAGAGTTTCGTTATTGACTACTTCCAGGATACAAGAGCCAGACTACGAGATGTACGAGAATGGACCGTCAACGCCAGTACCACCGAGTCAACATCAACATCATCATCGCCATCATCATCACCACAATCATCACCATCATCATCAGGAATTGAGGCTCGGTAGCAGAAATAGTGAGCATCCGTCATACCAGAACACGGCCTACACCGGAAGTGACGCCGAACCGGATGGGCCAACGCTGAGCAGTGCTCCCAGCAGTGCCTATTATAGCGATCTCAGCTCGAATTCGACGAATCAGCAGATGCCGACAGTGACAGTACCGTCTGCAACAGCAACGACAACGACGACGATAACAACAACAACAAATTTGCACTTAAATCCACAGAATCTGGACACGCCACAGTACAGACTAGCGGCAATCAACGAGAACACAGTGCCTTCGGATTATATTTAAGAGATGATCCTTTCAAAACAAGTGACGAGAAATTTGAAATAGACAATTATATCGACATGCATTCGCTTTGTTTGTAAATGAAGAGAGTCTTTGCGTAGTATTTATAATTTAAATCGAGGAAGTTGCCCTTGTAATAAAAAGTAGGAATGAACGGAGGTGAGACAAAAGTGGAGACGAAAGTGTGAAATTTTTCGTCACTGTCGTCGTGACTCGAAAGTTTCTTCAAGACAGTGTTTTACGGTGCTCAGTTTTAAGTTTTGTCCATACAAGAGGAGTTGAAAAGATCACGTTTGAAAAGTGTTTAACCGGCGGATGTATCGGAGACCGGTTCCGAATAAAATGAATTTCTTGCTCAGTAACGCTCTACTTACTCCTTTGTCGCCACACTTTGTGGTCCTGTTAAGACAATCGACTTTCGACACGCGAATCGATGGATCAAGCGATGCGAATCGATCGGCATCGCGGCGCGTTCTCCTTTGCTTTTACGTACTAATAAAATACTAGGTATTCAACGTCTTGATACTTTTTTAACAATGTAAGACAAGCGGAAGATAAACCGGTTGACAGGTAAGTGACCAGAGAAAATCATGTCAACAGAATTAATACACAATTAAGCATTATGAAGTCAACTAAACTTACTCTTCGTTGGAGTAAAATCTCACTTTACTCTTAAAAAAAGTGAAAAATTTGCACTCTTGAATAAGAGGAACAGATTTTCGCTCTTTTTTTTAGAGTGAGATTCACTCCAAGAAAAGAAGTGGGATTTCTTTCTTTTGGAATAAATTTCACTCCGAAAAAAAAAGAGTTAAAATCTACCACTTTTATTCAACTTTTTTCCAATAGTGGCAGCATTTTAACTCTTTTAATTTAGAGAGTATGATCTTGATAAAAATAATCGAATAGCCATAACCGCAACTGAACACGCAATTACGTTCGTTAGATGATATTGATAAATTTATGTGTTCATTTTTGCCTAAGATGGCACTCGGATATTTTGAGTATCTTATAGTACCGGCTCAGGCGTGACGTTCGATTTCCACTCGGTAAACGTAAAGCAAAAACGTAATGATACCGCGCACGAAGAATCGCGCGTTGTGGTTTCCAATCAGTAATAACACGTTGAGATATAAATTGATGCCGCCCCGACGTTCCTGCGAAAGTCAACCAGTACTAGACGAAAAAAATGGACCCCCATTATTTCTGCCACCGTTCATGTCAATCAGAGAAGGGGAAGCGAAATTTCAGACCTACATTATGTGAGTGATCGGCGGCAACGCATAAAACATCGTTCTGTTCAAATTACTGCAACTACATTGATGGGATAAGATTGCATATAGCAAAAGCAACCTTGCATTAAATTTGATAGTTCATGTAAGAAATAAAAATAACATGAATTGTAATGAATTGAAAATGAAGCTGGAAATTGGGAAATTGCGGTAAACAATTTCGACATTTTCGGTAAGAAAAAAAAATCGATTTTAAATTGACCACAAAGTTTCCGATTAACAAATATAAAACAATAAGAAATAAAGTGACTTGTACGTATCTTAACTGCTGCACAGAAGCAGACTTGGGCGCGTCCTACGCGAGATTCTAACGCATTAGAGGGTTAATTCGGAATCTAATCGGGTATTTTCAGTGAGTATGATTGTAGACATTACCGAGAGAAGAAGCCGCACGGCAGATTTGAAATGCCTACACGATACGAATGAAATGAAGTCGTTTTGAAGAGCAGGTGCCCCGTAATTTGACGTTCGGGGTTGCCAGTCAGCCCTCGGCTACATCCGTTCGCGTTCTCTAAGCGTCCGCCGCCTCACCGTTCTCAGCCAGCATCCTTCCATGCTTGCCGCGCAAATGAGGTCTCGTTTTCACGTGCGTGCCTCGATTATGGAAAATTGGAGAATTCCGTGCCGTGAAGCGGATCATGCTCAGCAAAATACGTACAATATTCGTACAAAATATCTTGGCGAGCATTTTATTATTTTCTGTCTTTTATTCTATATACAAGAGATGGAATAGACGTAGACAGTGCACAATATAGTGACCAATCACAGATGGTATTTTTAATGGCTAAATTTAATGGACTGCTTGTTATGTCTACATACTTCGTTGACTTCGTTGGCTGATTCGTGTGTTAAAGTAATTAGGATAACAAAAGTATTTCTTTTTTAGCAGGAGACGGAAGACACGCATTACGGCAAACGAAGTTTAATGCTCACAATAAAATTGTCTTCATAACCTTGTCGTATAATAAATTGTGGGAAATATTTCTGGTAAAACTGAGTATACGAAATTCGTTCGAGAAATTGTATTCGCATATCACGCGAGGGATTGTCATTCAAGCACTAAATAGGTTTCGGTCTTGGCGATGTATCAATTTCAATCGTTTATCGACGGCGGAATTAATTTGTCTTACTCGATTCGGCGGGGAATCGTTTAATCGTCGCCATCGTGTTCTCTTAATTATCTTTTCAAGCGAAGCCGATTGTTCCTCAGATCGAAACATGAATCCACGAGAAGACGCATTCTCTCAGGATTCTCCCGTGCGCGTTTCACATCATTCACCTTTAACTCACCTGTGTTCACGCACACATATACGTACAATCGACCAATACTCTTCAAAACATATGAGAATACCTGCGCTCACCTAATGTGTCACACTGTACGTACTATATATAAGAAAATAACTTTAGAACCACTTGTTTCTTCAAGTTTCTAGTTACTGCGCGTTCTGAGGAAAATGCGAATAAAGGAAATTCTATTATTGGAAATTATGTTCTTCATAAAGAGCAATAAAGCTTGCTATCAAATAATTGATACAAAGTGAATTTATTTTTGTTAAAAATGCGATTGTCACTTTTCATGTAATTCCTTTAATAAACGAACATTTAAAGAAAGACATAATAGGCAACTATAAATATAGGTGATAATTATACAAGTTTTATTTGTGAAATTAATTCACACAGTTGAATAAACTATTTTATAATTACTATAACTGTAAAATAGTCTATTATTATAACTTTTTTTTATATGTATACATTAATTCTACATATGAAATTCTTATATAATTATCATATTTATATAGTCGCTACCATTGGTTTTCTTTGACAATGAGTAAATGGCATGCCTCGTCCTAAATATTTCGATATTTTTCATTTTTCGAAGAGGAAGTTCTGCGTGTTCTATAAATATCTATAATCTATAGCTCGTTTTCTCTGATTAATTAAAGAAACAAAACGTGTTGAATATTGTCCTTGAAAACGACTTTTTAAGACTGATTATTTTCCAAATGATCGAAACACATGAGAGTATCGAGACACATAGCCAGAAGGTATGCAACGCAAGCGTTCAACAACAATGCGTTCCTTCTGTGAATACGCTATAATTAATCGTGCTCTCGTGGCCACAATGGTGGCAGGAAGACCTGAACTCTCGGTATTACTGCATATAGCGCAAAAAATCTCGACCGCATTACATCGGTGAGCCCGGATAATCCTTATCATGGCCGTGTTACGCGAGAACGTATCATGGAATTCGTTTAATTAAAGCCCATCTCATTTCTCTTTGCGCGCCTTCTGCATCTGCATCGGAACTCCTAGGAGGCTCGCGTGTTTATGGATAATTTCAAGTCGCAATCTAGAAGACTGCTATTCGCATCTCTCATGATTCGCGCGTCCAGGTAGATCAGCTCGGTCGTGTCGCTACTTATCGTGGAAAATCTCCTAATGATATTGCTTTTCGTTATGATAAAATAGATGCGAAATCCGCAAACTATCGTGTGTGTTAATCTATCTCGTGTAATGTGAAAATATCAAGTCTCTTTATATATGATACTTGCTATTTACCATCTGGACGATCACTTTAAACTTTAAACCGCATGAGTATAAACCGACACTGTAAGTTATCAAACATTTTTTTTTCAGTTTTGCTACTTTTGCTTTATAGAAATGTTTTACATCCGCAATCGCATTGAAATTTAGATCAACTTTTTATGAAACTCATTAAAATTAACATTTTAAATTTTGTACAAGATATTAGAATGACAGAAGCATCAATTTTTTTATACAATACAATAATAAAAACATAATAAAAAGACTGAAGTTTTCTATTATTATTAGTGATTAATAATAGATGACATGACGACCTAATAATAATAATATATGCAAATTAGAAGTTTTTTTGAATGATTGTATTTCGCAATTATCGCACTCTAAACGTCTATTAAGCGTTATGTAATCATCAAATTTACATCAAGAAATGTTCACGAACAAAGATCAGGTTTCAATGAAAAAAGTGAAAGTACAAAATAATGATCACATTCGCCCCATATAATCGGCTTAACTTCGCTTGGCGCATTTAAGCAAGAAGAACGCATGTCGTTCGAAAAACGCACACGCAGAATTTCCGAGGAGATTTTCGAGTCGATCGATCGACATCATGAGAATTCACGCGACCAAATTCTTGCAAATTTCTCTCGAGCCGGACTCCCTTTTACAATATCTTTTCGTATTAGGATAGCTCGCACGGGATTCGACGGACATCTCAGAACGATCATAAGAATAGCCCTGGGCCCGCCCTGGTCGGACGTACCGCATGTTCGGACATGCATGGGATATATAAATTATACATGTAAATATACGAGCGACCGGCTCGAGAGATCGAACTGTGAGATATCGAGAGATGTGTTGGCGATTCCCGCACCTTCTCTCCCTTCATAGATCCCTCCTTGCTCCTCAAATCTGAATTCGCACACATATGCAAAAATTCACTATATGTCGAATGTTTCTGTCGTTCTTCGCGAATCGCGAGATATTATTTTTATCCTACGCATGTTTCATTGGTAATGTCGATTTTGAATTGCAAAGATCTTAAAAATTCTACGAATTAGAACACACATGTATATTTTGTCTTCTTTTCATAAAAAAAATTAACACAAAGAATCAATGATATAAAAGTATCTCTTCTAACAATAAGCTATAAATGCAGTTCAATTAAATCATTTATATTTTTATATTTTC